CACACACACACACACACACACACACACACACACACACACACACGCCCCTCCTCGCCGCCCAACAGGTTTGATTGATGACAGAAAGAGGCTATGGCTCCTCTGTCCTCAATCTCCTCATCTGCAACCAGGAAGTTCAGAACGGAGAATAGCTTTGGGGACCGGTGTGTCACGGGTTTGGGACCAGGGCACATGAGCTCCTGTGTTTGCGGAGTTGGTAGGAGTCACAAAGAGGCGGGATATCGGGGAGGTGGCGGTGAGGAGCAGCACTAACAGGTAAGTGTGGGGGGGGACGGGGGACACAGAAAGGTACTGCAGAGAATGCATTATGGTAAAAAAAATGCCCTGCCTTTAATACTACTTTAAGCTGACTGAGTTGCCCATCAGCCCGGATATATTTCCAACACTCATTGGAACTGAGGAAGCCGCTTGGATGAATGGGGAGAGATACTGACCTCTACTATAAGGAAGCCCAGAAGATCGGGTCTAGCTGCTACCAGCATTGTGAAAGGAAGCGCACTTCGTGGTGGATAGTTTGTTGGAGGTGGCGAAAGGCAACCCGAGGAACCCGGGCCACGGCAGTGAGAGCGCCGAATCCGAGTCATTAGTACACTAGGCAGACATAATTGATAAATTCCACGGTACGAAAAAGAACTTTCAAGTAGAATCATTAAAAGCATAAATGGTCTCTTCCTTCGAGAGCGATGATGGTAGACTGCAACTTCTTTGAAGTCCTTCATTACAGACTGGAGGCACTCTCAGTCTGACGGCAGATCAGATACATAATGTGCCAGGGAAGGCATAGAACCATGCTTTTAGCCTCTGCAGTCAGCGTTAAGTATCTGGTTAATTTGGCTATAAACCTTTTGAGAAAGGGCAGAGCAGCTGGCCATACCCAACAGAGCCAGGGAAGTCTCCAAAGACAGGATAGACTGTAGCAGCAGAGGGCAACATCATTCCAGGCTGCAGACATCTGCTGCCTCAGTAGTAGCCATGCAAGCTGCCCTGGAGCAGTTAGAAGAAAGTGAGCTGGAAGCACCCCTGACAGCGGGACTGACTCCCTTGTGTATAGAATCAATGTTGCTTCTTTTTGATGGTAAAGCAATGCACAGTAGAAGGCAAGACCCGCGGTACTAACAGAACTCAACTGCGGGTCACAGGCGACGATCAGATGGCCCGAAATGATCATGGTTACCATAGGCAGGCAGCAGCAGCGGATTAACCCCTTCATGACTGAGACCCTTTTTTCATTTTTTGCACCCATGTTATATTCCACATTTTAGGCCTGAAAATGACGTAAAACCCCCCAACATTATATATTTTCTGAATGCCAAGACCCTATAGAATAAAATGGTGGTAGTTGAACATTTTTATGTTGCGCAATATTAGCGCAACTCCTTATTAAACCCCAAAATTTAGTGACAAATTTAATTAAATGCCCCAAAACACAACAAATTACCCATTTTTTTAATGAAATATAAAAGATGAGGTTACAACGAGTAAAACGATACCCAACATGCCCAGTTTA